GCAATAAATTGACCTTCCATTTTATACGTAATGAATGTATTGTAAAGGTCCAACATATTTTCACCAGGAGGTGAGAGATTGAATGTTACCCATGTGTTATCTTTAGCAGTTCCAGGTTGTGATGGAATCTTTGCGTCAGAATATTTTCTATTAGTGTCACCAATTTGAACTGCATTGTCTATGATATCGAAATATGAGCGAATCTGATGAATATGCTCTGCCGGAGTAAATTCGTTTAGCTGTTCGTTCTGCATGTATTTACTTCAGATAAAAATATCTATTTACTTCATTATTCTCACTCTTCTTCTTGGCATTCGTGGTGGAAGTTGTTTCTTGACATTTTCAATGAACTGTACATTCTCTTTTGTCTCAACTTCTTTCACTGGCGGGTCAGGGTTCTTTGACTCGGTTTGTTTTTCAATGAAATTCACGAACTTTGCAATAAGCTCTTGGTTCGTTATTGAAAGTACATCTGGCTTCTTTTCTTCTTGTTCTTTTGGTGGCTCAGTTTGAACAGAAGGTTTTATATGGACTTCATGGACTTCACCCTTGCCATGCACCTTAATGTTGTCGCTCTCTGCATTCGCTAATGGTACCTTTCTTTTTCTTACATATATTTTACCATCTTTACTCTGACTTACGTAATAGAAAGGATGTTGTATTCCTCTTGCGTCATTTAATATAATAGACTCTCGCTCTGATTTTGACAAGCTCATTTTACATCGGTTAAAGTTTTAAGTTAGTTTTTTATCTACAGTCAAATGACTCAGACAAGTCATATGGACAAGACCCAAGGGGTCATAGATGTTGAAGCATTGAAGAAAGAAATTCGCGAGCAAATTTTATCCGAACTGAAGGAACAAAAACAAGAACAAAAGCCAGAGAGACCAAAGAGAAAACTTAGTGAAAAACAACTTGCTGCATTAGCTGCTGGAAGACAAAAGAACCCACGTTTGCTGGCAAAGAAAGCTAGAGAAGAAGCTGAAGCAAAAGCTAAAGAAGCTGAAGCAAAGAAAGAGTAAATGGTTTTATTTTTATCCGAACTAAATGTATAGACAAATACCTTTATCTGTTGCGTTCAGTAGTGAAAACCCTGACGTCAAAATAAAGGGGAACAGAGTAACGTTTAAGTTTCCAACAGACTGGATTGTGAACATAAATGAAGAGAAGTACATTGGCATAACATCTATGTATATAACACGTGCTTTCAGAAAGGTTGACTTTATACTTCAAGTCGAGATAGAAAATGACGAACAGTCTTTAAGCGCCCAAAACATTCACATATACAAATACTTTAAAGACGATACAACATTGTTGCAATGTATGATTTCATTTAATGAGATGTTCGAGAAAAAGTTCAACATTGAAGTACAAACTTTACAGCCTTTACGTGAGTTTCTTGCACAACTGAAAGAAGAAGGTAGTCAGCCACAACTTATAGACTTTCATTATGAATTTAATGAAAATGAAGATGGAACTCATGACTGTCAATTCATTGTATTCTCACCATTCAATGAAGTCGCTAAAAAGAAAGAAAATCCATTACGTATAAGATTTCAAATCTCCGAACCAAGTGATGATTTTAAGAATGTTTTCAATTATGATGCAATGCTTCCGAGGAAAAATGAATTTTCAAAGATTGTAACACCTGGCATTTGGGATAGAAAGCAAGCAATACTTTACTCTAATATAGCCAAAGGCGTTGAAAATGAGTTCATTGGTCATACAAGAACTTCACCACTTTCTAACCCTAAATACTATAAATTAACTGGCTTCAATCGTGAGTTTTGGATAGACATGTTCTCCACTCATGACCATAAATGTCCAGTGTTCTTGCCTCCAGATGGGAAGGACTGTCTCTACATTGAAGCACAACTCTTAAACTCTACCATCGCAGTATTGTAAAATCTACGCTAGCTTTATTTTTATCACGAATGACCTCATTGCTGACAAAAATAAGCCGCTAGCGGCAAGGGCGAAGCCCATGACCTCATTCATGACCTCATTGCTGACAAAAATAAGCCGCTAGCGGCAAGGGCGAAGCCCATGACCTCAGAACTTCAACTTACGAATAAAGCTTGTTTTAGTCGTTATTGAAAAGTTGAACTTTTCAGCAAAGCAAGGTTGACATGACTTACATAAGTCAAATCCAATCTCTTGACCGTCATAAAGTGCTTTGTAAAGTTTCATTAAACTGAACTCAGAGTCTTTGTCATATGTTCCAACAGGTATGTGAATGTTCTTATCTTCATTGTAATAGCATTGTATAGCTTCAGGAAACATTTCATTAGCGGTTAAAGCAATAACATCTTGCTTCACGCCTTTCATTCTGCAGTGAAATGCAACTTCATTTAAATCGTTAGTGAGTAAGTCTATGTAGGTCTTCTTTCCACAGAAAATACTTTTATAAGCTAAACTTTGTTTTCCAGGTGTTATTTCTGCAAAGTCGCTATGAAATTGACCAAGGTTCTTTCCTATAAGTTCTCTACCGTATCTCTTCTTAAACTCTGCTGCAAGCTTTGGGATGTCTTCATTATATAAGTGCATACTGTCGGTATCCTGGTAAAAGATTTGAAGACCCATATCTTCAGCAGTACAGAATACTTCATTCATAATACGTTTTGACATAGACAGAATATTAACACAAGTGGACAGAAGTTAAAGTGTCTGCAAATGCTTTTCGTTAGCTTGAAAATAGTTTTATCTGAACCATCCAAACCTTCGAACTTCACTATATGGTTGTAATTTCTTATAGCATATCTTATAGCATCTTTTGTCATTTACTATGGTTATTTTTGACTCAATAGGAGATAGAATAGTTTTGCCATAAATGCTGTTCAGAATGAGTTTTAATAATTTCTTGTAAGGGGTTTCCTTCTTTCTTATACTTTAACCTTAACTCAAACAACTTCTTTACTTCATCTCTTATTCTCATATCTCTGTTTCCATCGTAATAGTATCCTTTGCAACACTTCACATTTGACACATTGATATTTTATGAGGTCTTGTAATGTTATATGGTCAACATACATGAGACAGCAAGTGTTTGAACTTCTTGGAACGTTAAGTTCTGGATTTAGTTCAGGGTCGCAAACTATTAAATGAAAGTGTCTGGGTATACCAATCTCTGTTATCTTAATGAGAACAAAGAAGCCAGACATAAATTTTTCACCAATGGGTTCCTTTTGGTCGTCATCGAATAAATGTCTCATGAGATACTCTGTGCTTAACATTTCTTCCTTCAATACTTTTGGAATACCTTCTAAAGTATAAAGTCTTGCTATAGCTGAAGGATATAATGAAACAGTGTCGAAGTCAGCAATGAGTTTCTTTTTGCTCTTTTGTTTCATGTTATCTGACAACATACATCTTCCACCTTGAATGCATCTCGAAATAAATTCTCTTGGTTTATTTGAGAGGTCATAAAGATTTCCATTCGGGAAGTATACTCTGTTCTCAAACAATTTGTTAGCAATAGAACAAATACTAACGTAGTCATAAACGTTTAAATCAAACTCTTTCAATAAGTCATTGCGGAACTTTACAAAACCTTCTCTTAAAATTCTTACATCTTGTTTGCAGTAAAACGTGCTATATTTTTCTAAGTCGAAGTGGTTTTCATCTATTCTGCAACCTTTGATGGAATCTATGTTTTTCATGAATGTATCTGCATCATGGATAAACTTACATGCTTCAGAAATGACACCAGTTCTGTTGTCATTTGCTAACAAAACACTGCTGTAGTAGTTATATGGAAATACTTCTTTCGGTCCTGTTTGTAAGTTAAACATAGCAGGAAATAGTTTAAGCTTCTTATTTATAACACTGTAAGAGTCTTTTATAATAATTGCCCGTCCTTTATATAAACCAGTTATTTGCATTGTTCGTGAACCTTTAATGATGGGAGTTCCTTTCACTTCTGTCATGTGTCTTAAGATGAAGTTTATGTCATAACTGAGGTTATGGAAATATATTAAACTCTTGTCAGGGAGTCGTTCCAAAAATTCTGTTGCACAGTTCTGACCCCATATGCTTTCACTCACTGAACCATCTTCACTGTCGTAACATATGTTAAAAGCTTTATGAAAGCCATCAGTACTGCACTCAAAGTCAGCAAAGAAAACGTGCTCAGGAATGAATTTACATTTAGCTTTATTTACTTCTTTTGACTCTGCTTTCTTCTTCAGTTGTACACAATACTTTGGAGCATATGTCAAATCTTTAAATGGTGCAAGGTTCTGTTTATATAAGTCAGTAGTATATGTGAAAAGTTCTCCATAAGAAATAGGTTCAAAATATTTGCACTCCCACAATGTTTTCATAACATCCCATAACGGTGTTGTTCTATCATAACGAACTACATATTTATCTTCTCTCTTTGTATAAATCTTCATTTGTTTCTCAATGTTCATTCCACCACAAGCTTTGAGAATTTCTATATAGTTGTGAATGAAATATGTTGTCATTGGTAATCTTTCATTTAGCATGTAGTGGTCTTCAACAAGAAGTAAGTCAATAGTTCTAACAGTTTCGCATTCTTTTGGTATATATCTCTTTATTTCATTATGTCTTGAGTCATTGAAGTAACCAATGGTAACATTAAATGCTATACCTGTTGAATCGGAAATTTCTTGTACTTTACTTTGAGGAAAGTCTCTAACACGAATGACTTCTCTCATGTGGTCAATAGTTTCTTCATTTACTCCAGCCTGAATGCAAGCATAAACGAAACAATTGTCCTCTGTCATAAGTGTTGCAGTTCTTTTGTTCAGTTCATTGAAGATTTGGTAGCGTTCAAGATTTATAGGTAATGTGCAAAGATACTTCCAGAACTGACCGCTTCTCTTCTTATAAAACTTCTTTTCACCATTATCTTTCCAAAAGCTTTCTATAAGTGCTGGGTTTCCTGTTTGCTTAAGAGCTTCCAAAATGGCTTTCTGGTCATTTGTCAGTGTGCTTTCATCTCTATATGGTCTCTTTTTTGGTTTGCCTTTCTTTACATCTGACATCGTTAAGCCTTCATATTCTGTTAAATCATACATCTTTATTTCGGTAAGATTCTTTATGTTTGTCAAGAAGAAGTCATAGTGCATTTCAACAATACCTGCAGCATTTGCTTCTATCTCTGATATAAAGTTCTCCTTCAAGAGCTGATGTAGTAATGTTCCAATATTATTGAGGTTTAACGTAGAACATTCATACTTTCCACCAAGTTTATAACATACCATCCATCTCTGTTGGGAGTTTATTTTAATTTTCTCTAAGAGTCTCATGAAAACCTTACCAAAATGTTTGTGTAAGTAGTCTCTGTTTGGTTCATCTAAAGCTTCGATGTTAAAGTCAATGAGTCTATTGCCTGACTTCACATTCCTCTTCCTATTTTCTTCATCTTTCTTTAACCATCTCTCACCTTCTTTTGGTTTGTCGTCAATGGAACGAATGACATCATTAGCTTTGCGAACTTGTTCTATAGCACTTTTAAACATCTCTCTTCTCTGTTGTTTCAGTGTGTCATCTCTCTTTCGTGTTTCACCAACGTTTGCATTTGTTATGTCAAACATCTCTCTTCTTACTTCATGAGGTATTGAACGTCTATGATATAAGTCAATAGCAACGTCATTTAAAGGAAATGCTCTTGCATGGACTTCGTCCTCGCCGCGTTGCGGCTTTATGAACTCATGAATTCTATCATAACTTATTGCACCATTATAGTCTTTAATGAAGTCAGCGAGTGCCTTTTTGTTTGTTGTGTAATGCTTTGCAACATCTATATTAGCTTCTGTAAGAAGTTGTTTTATTTCCGAGTGTTCTAACTTAGACAACTTCCGATACATCTTTAGTAGGAAATAAAAAAATATTTTTTCGAAAAATTAGATTAGATTTTTTTTAAGTTATTTTTCAAAATAATTTAATATTTTTATTTTAATGAAACACATGCAAGATTGCAAGTTCTTTTCATACAATGCTCTCGCTACTGTCATCAAGAATGAGTTCAATAATGCTTCAAACGTCAATGTTATCTTTAACAAGAAGTTTGTGAAAGAATCTAAGTTTGGTCAGTATGTCAGACCATTAGCTATTGTCATTGACCGCAAACGTTATACTTCACAAGAGTTAGCAGTAGTTTTGAAACAAAAGGGTTTCTTCGTGAATGTCAAAGATACTCATTATACTGTTATAAAGAACTCCAACATTGACTTCTTCAGTATTGCTATGAATCTTTCCGAACAGAAAGAATATAAGAAGGGTGAAACATCTGTGAAATATTATCCTTCATCTCTGAAGACAATAACGAACAAAGATGTTATACAGAAATTCTTACCAAAGGTTGAAGAAGCTTCTATTGACATTGACGAAGGAAGTGAAATGGTTGAAGAAATTGACCCTGAAGCTATTTAACCAAAAATATATTTTTGGTGAAGAGACCCAAAGGGTCAGAGCCGCAAAGCGGCTAGGTGAGATGTCACCTGTTTTTTCACCTCATTCTCTCTTCGTTAATGTTGTCGTGACTTCTTCGTTAATGTTGTCGTGACTTCATTCTTCCTCTGAAGCGAAATATTCTGTTATTTTTTCCTTCAGTAATGGTAAGTCTTCTTTGAAGGTAAGTATTGTGCAACCTTTGATGTCATAGTGTGTTTGAGGAAGAGTATTTTTGACAATTTCTTTTATTTGCTCATTCGGTGTCATTGAAATCGGTAAGTTTTCACGATAGAACCAGTTTCTGTCAGATTTATATATTTTAGCAAGGTCGTAAAAGCTTTTGTTGTTTCTTCTGACTAAATGCAACATAACCATATCTTTATCTTCTTCATTTCCATCTCTTCAGTGTAAATCATATACTTATAACTCTTTTCCTTTCCTTTTGGTACTGAACGCGGTATTCTTTTCTGTATGCTTTTGTCTTTGGATTCAATGACTTCATCTTTTGCTTGAAGTTTCTTTTCCATCTGTTCGCGTTCTTGTCTGTGAATTTCGTCAAGAAGTTTACAAACATACCAAGCATAACGAGGTGAAGCCCACATTGCTACAACATTTACTAAAAGTCTATGAACATAATATCCTCTCAAACCGTTTGGCAATTTTTCACGGTTTTCATAGAGTTTTGGCGACTGGGGTTTCCCTCCCACTCGCTGTTCTTCACTGTTTTCAGAAAAAAGTACGTCTCGCTGTGCTTCACTTAATAGTTCAATAGTGCTTTGGTTCCTAAACCAGTCTTTAGGAAGCTTAGTATCTGGAGCAAAACAAGCCGTCAAAATACTTTGCATTTGGTACATGTCATCTTTGACAGAACGAATGAGTCTCAATTGTTTGTTATATTGTATGTACTCGTATTCTTCATTTATGACTTCATGAACGATAGCAGTTGTTGTGTTCTCTAATGTTGACATATCTGTCTTTACATACAGGATAAAAAAATAAATAAAATAAAAACTAACTTTATTTTTTTTTGAGATAAACACTATTTCTTCCACAACATTAAATTTTATCCTGTATGAAATGACTTTAAAAAGATTATTGACTGACTTCGAATACTATCTCATTGACGCACTGACAGACCCTCAAAACTGTGTTGAAAGTTCTTTAAGCTTTAAGATTGAAGGTACGACGCATTTTGTCTTCACTTACGTATTGAAAGAATATGACCGTTATCATAACGAAGTGAATCAAACACTAATAAAATTTGTAGATAAAAAATGGTTAACAATGAATATTTTAAACGTGAAGACCCAAACACTGCTGGAGATGATGAAGAATACAGACAAGTTATTGAAAAAAATAACGCAAGATTAGATGCAATAGAAAAGAAGTTTAATGAATGTCTTACAAACACGTATGAATATCTTATGCAGTGGGAAGCCAGATGGAAATAAATTTACGTCAAATATGCAATTTATAAAATCTTATGTCGACAGGCTACGTAGCACAGTGGTCTAAGGTGGTGTTATGGAGGGGTCAAGGTCTGTGGTTCGAACCGCGACAGCGCCGTATTTTCTTATTTTCTTTGTTTGTCTTGTTTGTCGTGAATAAAAAGTGTCATAAAAGTGCTCTATCTTCCACGGGAATAAATAAAAAATTTACTTTATTTCTTCTTTATTTCTTCTTTATTTTTTGTTCCCGTGGAAGAAGGGTTTTTGCCGTTTTTTCTCAGCCGAAATCAACGATTTTTTCATTTTTGGAATCCTTAGCGAATGAGGAATCTTTTCTCTCGTGGAAGCTTTGACCAAAAATAAGCCGCTAGCGGCAAGGGCGAAGCCCATGTTTAGGTGAAGAGGTGAGATGTCACCTGTTTTCTCACCTAATTTTTCACCCTCATGAATTTGTCATGAAATAAAAAATAATGTTAGTTTTATTTTTTTTATTTTTTTATTTTGTATGTAAAGATATGATTTCAACAATCGGCACAACAACAATTCAAGCCGCGAACGGTGGGGCTCTGTCCACAACTACAGCACCAAACTCGTTAGTCATGAATCCAACATCTATGTTAGTAGAAATGAAAAACTTCATTCCTTCTTCATATACTTTCGAAACAAAAATCCAGAAGATAAAGCAAGAACTTTTAACAAGTAATTTAGACTGTAGTGTGAAAGATGAAACAAATGAACAGTATCTTTATGAAATGCAGGACATTATTGACCATTTACCCAAATTGCCTGAAATCCAACAACAAAAACTCACTATTCCTGAATTCGACGAAATTGAAGTGAAACCAACTGACTCAGTAGAAATAAAGAAGTTCATACGTAAAGTAAATTATGAATTCCTTGGTTTTCATTGCAACCATAAAGTTATGGACAAAGATTGCGACATGGTATATAAAAACATTTCTGACATATATAAATCCGGGGAGTTTAAGACCTACGATAACTTTGTTTCATTAGTTGCAAAATGTGTTTGGGAAATAAGAGATAAAGATAGAAGAGGTAAGGTATGGAATGAACAGATAAGACCAACTGCTTTTGAGTTAAAGAAAACCATTGACGCCTTAGTTGTTTTAGCAGGTAAGGTTTCAGAATATAATGCAAAAATGAACCCACAATGTTCAAAATGTAAAGCAGCAATGAGGAAATATAACTACTCCGTCAAAGAGATAGAAAGAATGCGAAACGACTATGCAGACTTAAAGAAAGAAGCAGAAAAGCCAGCAGAAGATAAAATGAACATGTTAGAATTTCTGAACAAAAACTATCCAACAGCAGAAGATTTCCTTCTATCTGACGTCAAGAAGAAGTATAAAGAAACCTTCGGTATCGTTAAAACTTTTGACATACTGACAGAAGAAATAGAAGCTACGAAATTGTTTAGAATTTCAAATATACATCGTACAATTCATGTGAAACGCTTGTGAAAAAAGAGGTGAGAAAAGAGGTGAGAAAAGAGGTGATATCTCACCTCTTCACCTATAATATATTTTTGTCTGATTTACATCTAATGAAAAAGTTTAGAAGAATTTTCTTATTCTTTCTGGCATGTTTTTATTTTTCCAGTACTCCCGCTCTAATGGTCCCAGATGAGTTGGCTTTGACTCTCTCAAGTTCTTAGATGGTATAACATCTTCAACGCCTCCTTCATATCTTACTTTATAAGTGTCATCGTTTATGTTGTAGTCAAGTATTTCAATAACCACTCCTCGCTTTGCTTCGTCAATGGTTTCAGCAAGTTTGCCATTACTACTTTCGACTAATTTATGTCGAGGATAAAACGCAATAGAGTCGTCGGCAGCTTTTATAAGATATCCATTACCTTGCGTAGAGTCTACGATATAATAGTTTCTACTTAACCTTAAACGTTTCTTTGTCAACGGTTTGTCGTCAAGAACTACACGAACTTTTGTACCAGGAATGAGGGTAAATTGTGTTGAATTTCTGATATTTTGTGTTTGGCTTCGTTTCTTTTGTATATACTTTTCTTCTTGTTGTTGTGTCATTGAATTTGGTGTATGTCCTGTTGTAGAATTTGTTGAGGAATTATATACTTCGAGAAAATGTTTCATTGTTTCTTCGGTAAAGTCTCGCTCTTGATTTAAATCTCTGAGAGTCCTTATGAAGCGGTTTATGATACCGAGTATGTTATGGTTATGGTCTTCAGTAGTGTAGTGAGTTATGTTATGCTTAATGAGAAATTCTGTGATTTCGTTGCTGAGGTATGCACTGTCTTGGTCTGATGTTAAAGTACTTGGGTTATGTTCTGCTACAAACTTTTGTAAAACTCTTAACACTTCACGAGTTCCTTTATTTTTCATTGGATATGCATATGCTTTACGAGTGTTAACATTTATGAAGATGAGGAATGGTTTATGTCCTCCTTTTCTGCTTTGAATGAGAGTGTCAAATTGGTATGCGTCAGGAGTGTTGGAGTAAATTGGTAAAAAGTAGTCGTAAGGATTTATTTTTGTTTGATGTACAACATTTTTGTCAAAGAACTTTTTAACTTCAGCTCTGTTAGTAAATCCCGAACTCTTTGCAGCTTCATTGAACTTCTTAAATGACCTCCATGGATGTTGTTCGAATACTTCTTTCAAGCTCATTTATGTAAAAATAAAGATTTTATTCTAGGCTCAAGCGCGTTCATTGAACGCGGTACCATGCAAATACAGTCACAAATGGTGGCATGTAATCTGCACCCGAGCCTGTTGGATTTGTTGTGAAAGTATGGGCATGATTTCCTGCGGTTCCACAGAAAATACCTGCGCTTGAATCTACTGGGTCACTTGAAATATCATATCTATGCATTCCCTGTCTATCCGAACCTGCTGCAAGATTTGTATAACCTCTTTTTGTTATTGAATGTGAATGACTACCTGTTGTGTTTGTAGTTCCTGTATGAGTGTGCGGTGGAAGGTTTGCTTCAGTAATTTTCTTCGAACCTCCTGTTTGCTTTGAAGAGTTAGCACAGTATAAGAATTTGTCTACAATCTGCTGCCATGTACCAAAACCTAAAACTGTTGCTGGATTTGTTGAGTTCATTGACGTATAAATAGAGCCTATAGGATATAATGTTTGAAGAATCTGAGTCTTTAATGTTTGAAGCTCTGTTTTGTCTGCTTTCTTGTCATATAAATCTTGAGCAGTGAATTTAATATTATGTTCATCCTTCATGACATAAACATCTTTACATCTAATGTTTCTCATCGTCGTTATGTCGTCATCCGATGTTAAACCTTGTGGAAAGTTAGGAGGTTTACAATATAATACATCCCCACCAGTTTCTTCAACCGTTCCTTCAATACTTTCTATAGCAACAGTTGTAAAACTTGTATGTGTATGGTTCTTGTCTGCTTTCTTATCTAACATTGCTGGTAGTTCATATGCTTCAAAGTTTCTGGCATGACCTTCGATATTCCTGCAACTCTTATCTAAATTGTTAAGAGTATCTTTTACGCTTGTACTTGGATTTTCTAATGGTGCACTTGAACCCAAATCAAAGTTCAATATTATGTCGTCTGCTCTAACAGTAGTGAAGGAGTTATGTGTATGGTTCTTGTCGGCTTTACTGTCTAAAGAAGTTTGAAGTTCATTTATATCGGAGATATTGTGTTTATGAGATTTCAAAACTTTGTTCATTGCGTCAAGTTCATCTTTGTCAGCTTTACTTTTAATAGCATCTTCAAACGTTATTTTTGACTTAACTCTCAAAGTAAATCTTGGTTCAACTAATACACCATTAACATTGAAAGTAGAGGCATAAATTTCACCGGTATAACCAAATGCTTCTGGTGCTTTAGCTACATCATACTGTACAGTACAGTGTATGTCATAACCTTTAGCACGAATGTATTTATATCTTCTTTCATTAACATTTTTTGTCTTCGCTTCATCACTTCGTGTTAAATATCCATGGTAGTCCGTTATAATCTGTTCGTCTGAAGTTATATAATGAACATGGTTTTTATCTGCTTTTTCGGCTAATTTCTCATTAACATCATTCACTTCTAATTCAACTCTTCCGCCAGAACTCTTATTATCATTAATCTTTTTCATTAATTCGGTAATTACGTCATAAAGACTATATTCTGTTTTCGGTTTTGTAAATAATGAGTCAAAATTTCTTTTCATCATTACATCGCTGACATTAATGATATCACCAATTCCTTTTTCATTTATTCTCTTCATTAGTTCTGCAATAATGACGAATATATAATCTGTTAATTTATTCTCTTCATCGAGGGTTATAGAATGATTTGAAATCGAATCATTAACTCCTCTAAATAAATCAATAACTTCAGGATACACGTTTTTAATGTCTTGAATAACCCGACCAGTATCCTCGCCACTATGTGGCTCTGAGCCCGTTGGGCTCTGTTGTTCATGTTCTTCGTTCCCGTCGTTACGTGGTTTTATATCTCTAACCATCATCAACGCAGCCATAACCGGAGGGTTTGTTGCTACCTGTTCGAAAATCCGTCCGTTATGTATGGTATATCTAAATAATTTCTTTGTGTTTGTTAAAACATTTGAAACAAGTCTTTTAAAACCATCTACAAAATTTCCTGTTTCACCTAATGTTCTTGCAGCATTTACAAGCTCACCCATTCCCGCTTTTGACCCCAAAAACGTCCATATTGCATTTATTTCACTCTGTATAGTTGTCCATTCAGCGAAACTAACACCCGCATTCGCTAAGCTGAAAATGAAATTCAGTGGATCGAACTTAATTCCACCTTCTTTTTCAATTTCAACGAACTCACTAACATGAGATTTTAAGTATTCTTTCGTTAAAATTGTTTTCCCCGATGTTATGTCATTAACGAAACTATCACCGTCAAAAGTTAACGAATTCAATTTCGTCGTTGATGCTTTTATTTCATACACCGCTTTATCAATAGTTTTTGGCTCACCTTCTTTAGAAGCATATGAAACATTAATGAATGAATTATATGTATTCGTGAATGAGTTAAAATCAATGATTTTCATTAATGACGCCTTTAATGATTCATTAACTGTTGAATCCCTTAAAACAATTACTGAACTGTCATGGGCTTCGCCCTGGTCGCTTCGGTCTGAAAGACCTTCAGGACTCAAAGAGTCCGTTTGCGACTTTATGAAAGGTACACTGCAAACTGTCGAGTTTGGATCAAATGCTGTAGTTGGTGCAGGAATATTAATGATATAAGTCATTAAATCATTAAGTGACGTAAATAATGTTGTCGTTTTTGATTTAATTTCTTTAGCATCTGTTATATACGGTAATTTTATTTCTGTAGTTTCTGAATTAAAGATATTCGCTAAAATGTTTTGTAAACTGTTTTGAACAGCAGTATAAACCGTTGAATCCGGAACTCTTACGATTTCACCGTCCTTAATAAAAGGCATTGCACATGGTGTAGTGCTTGGGTCAAATCTTTCGGGATTATAATTCAACATATATTCTAATGCTTCATATACAGACTTATATACTGTTGTGTCGTTCTTCATGACAACTTCACCATTTACAATGAATGGCATTGTACATGGAGTTAAAATAGGGTCAAACTTTTCATAGTCCTTCCATGTTATGTATTTCTCGGTATTTCCATCACTGATAACAATATATTTGTCAGTAAGTGTGAGAGAGTATTGACCAAAATATAAACGTTTAGCTCTGTCAGCTTCATACGCATATGCAGCTATACTCATATTTTAATGAGAATAAAATGTTGTTCTATTTGCAAAGTACAGACCCAAACGAATACGGGACAGTAAAGCTACAAACAAACTTAGGTCTACAGAATGAGCCACTTGCATTCAGAATGGTTGACTTCAATACTATCGCTTCATTCGTTATAACAGATGAAACAGATTTCATGGAGCTTGAAATAGATGGAAAGAAGCACGAAATAAGATTTCACAATAATGTAGAATATAAGATGGAAACATTAGCTGGAGTGTTAAATGCTCTCATAAATACTACAATAAACAAGGATAACGAAGAAAACTTAATGAATGTTAAACTTATTGCAGGAGTTTTGAAGTTCAGTTATGCAAAGGAGTTTAAGATAACACGAATGAGTCATAGAGTTCAATTGCTTCTGGGAGCATACCATATGACATTTCCTTTGAAAAGTGTTGACAAAACGATTGAGATGAAATCTGTTCCATACGTATGTTATGGTAATTGTTTGTACATTGAGTCAAAAATAGCTAATGTCACAGGTATTTCAGGAGTTAATAGTAAAGGTTCAGTAGAATATAAATCCTTCTGTTATGCAGTCAATTCAATGTTCATTCCAAACGTTCCTGTCATAGCAACTCATTTAGGTAAATGGATTCGCATTAGTCCTCATAATTTGAAAGACATGCAATTCAGACTTGTTGACTTTCAAGGCGAGCCTGTAGAACTGAAGGCACCAGTGCGAATGACTGTTGAAGTTGACTTTTTAGAAAATATTAAATGCAACAGCTTACAAGAGAACTCAGAGCTAAAAATATAAAGTATGAATGTTATGTATTAGGTCATGAACTTTGGTTATTGCTGTTTGATGAAACAAATGAGTTAGTTATGTCAGTCAAGAGAACAGAAAAAGGCGTCAAAGGCGCCGAGCGCAAAGCGCTATATTGTGTTAGTGAAAACTGCACCAAGTCAATAAGATTAGGTTTGCATTATGAAGATGAGTTCGATACTGTTGAAGAAGTTTTGGATAGATATTACAAATTGCTTTAATTTACTAAAACATATTTCAAGCAAAGTTTATAGTAAGTAGATAGTTTTGTATACTCGTTCGAATATTTATACTTAAACTCAACTCCTGTAGTTCCTGGTGTTTCAATGATGCGGATGTTACCTATTTTCATGAATGGTGGCGTTTGACCACAGCATTCGATTTCAGGGTCGAGATAGTCAATGACACATTGTTTCCCTGTTATTCGTGAGATAACATTTTCAAGGTCCTCCTTTGTTAGAATTATTTGGTTCTTGCTTATAAGATTTGTCAAAAGCTTCTTATCGTCTTTGAGTAAAATTGTTTGGTATAACTGAAGAAGGTAATGGTCTACGTTATCTGAAGGATTTGTTTGAACATTTGTGTAAGGGTTGTCGTTGGCTTCTCTTGAAAGAATTTGGTCCAGTGGTGGATACTCTAACTTAACATCTGATGTAGCGTTAGCGTTTGAAGCTGAGTTTAAATTCACGGATTTCAGTTCTGGTTCTTTTTCTTTCAAACACTCTGAACTATAGTTCTTTATGACAATATTGTTTGTCGTTCGTGAGTCAACATTTGATGTTGGTTCAATTGGAACATTAACGGCACCAGCTAAGATGGATTTGCTTCTCATTTCATATAGAATAAAAACCTTTTATATGTATGAAATGAACAATATACTCGACAAGGGTTTGAATGTAAAGCTAACGAATGAAAATATTGTTGAATTCACTGAGACAGGAGCTGTGTATAAAGATGTAGAACTACTGAACAAAAGAGCTAAGGGAAGAAGCAGGAACATGAACAAAGGGTGGAAGCCTATAAAAATTTATGTCAATGATGGCTCAGGAGGTTCAAACATAAAGTATGCAGAAAGTTATAGAGTTTATGCTCTCAAAGGTGAAAAGCCTTCATTTAAGAACAGCTATTCTAACGCATATCCTCAAAAGCTAACGGATGGAGAAGTGGATGATATGAATGACAGCAAAAATATTAACAGAAATGGCGACAGAGATGCATGGAATTTGTTTACCATCAGTCAATTGAAGGTTAAACTTTAAAACAATGTTGGTCGTTCCCATGGAATATTTTTGACTTTAATGGTATTAGTCATGATATGAATCTCAAGGTATGAACGAGGAGAGATGAGAGACTTATATGCTTCCCAAATTTCTTCAAAAGGTAATGTTATACCTGACTGTTTCCAAATGAGTTCAATATCATAGCGTGAGAAACCTTGAAAGATAACGAAGTCAGTTATGAGACGTTTTATGTTTAAAGCAAGGAAACGCCATGTTTGCATAAGTATTGCTACAGTTAAATGGTAATGTCTGACTTTAGTTATGATGTTAGCTAATGGTGAGTCAGGCTTTGACACTAAACCTTTTCCGGCGAAGTCGTCACAAACGAGCAGAGTGTTTGAAGGATACTTTTTGAAGGGGTATTTTGAAAGTTTTGATAGAATGTAGTTTGTCAGTCGTTTCATATCGTAAACTCCTGAGTATTGACGTAAGTGGTGTTTGTCAATAATTCTTTCCATCTCTTCTGAAGTCTTTTGCATTCCTGACTGTATGAACTCTACAATAGCATAATATTTCCTCTTACGTCGAACGTAACGTTGAAGAAATTCAATGAGTTCACTGTCTGGAACTTTAACGACAGAGGCTTGAACTTTTGACATAAATGTTTTCGCTGTTGAGTCCATAGAGTCTGAAGTTGCTGATATAATGATTTGGTCATAATATGAGTCATTTCCTAAACGTTCTGTTATAAGAATATGACGAATGAGATTAAATGTCTTTCCTGAACCCATCTTTCCACAATAGAAATAAACGCCATTTGAACAGAATTCATAGTCCTTACTGAAAGGAAGAATAAGAGAAGAGTTAAGTTTGTCTGTAGTTTCATTCATGTCTTCATCTACATCATGTATTAAATGCTTCATTTTATCTCCATTAAAAATGCAAGTCAGAAATATTCAGAACATAGCACCGAGTCTAACTGACAAGAGTATAAAGATATACTATGAACATGTTATGATGAAACCAACCAAAATTCAAGAAAGTCAGTATACTTATGAATATCCAAGACACTGGGTAGAGTATGTAGGAGGTGAGAAAGCTATTGAAATCAGACAAGTTCGAAGTATTCCAGCAGGAAGAACAATATTATTGAAGAACTTTAATGTTTTGAGGTATAATGATGAAACAAAGAAGCAAGATAGTTTTCCTGTTGCTGTGTATGTGAACCTAGACACAGGAGATGACATGAAAGTTTTTAACACAAAGCTTCAAATGGTAGTGAGAGAACAACTGACTGTGGAAGGACATCCATTACCTTCAGAAGTTACCATAGTATATAATTTTGAAACAAACTCAATAGATTTTAAAGTCATCTCTGCAAAGAAGTCAGGTTTTACATTTAATGAAGCAGATGTATATTCGAATGAAAACTTCAAAGCTATTGCATGGTTAGATAATGACGATTGCTTTAAGAAAATATTTAAATTCAGTGACTCAACGATGTCAATAGATGACCTTCGTGGAATGTTACCATCGACGTTTACAGTTGAAGGTTCAGCAGGATTGCTTACAAGATTGTCAATTGGTGGCATTTGGTCTCGTGAGAACATTGTTATAAAATCCAGTATAAGTGAATTTGCTGAAGAATCTATATTATGTCTTTCAAACTATATGTATTCGCCACCGAAGCATTATAGTATAACAAACTTTGTCAGTAAGTTTAACATAAGACTTGTCGAACCTTCTTCAATGAAAGATGTTGTGCTACCTAAAGATGGAAAGGATGGACTCATTATTGAATGATTTTAATAGCATATTAAATGAGCTTGTTCTTGAAGGTCATTCATGATGAAATAACTGTTGTAGAAGATGTTAGCAATTGTTCAGACATTTTGAAGCGTATAGATGAGATAAGAAAGAAGTTTATGAAGCCGCAACGCGGCGAGGACGAAGTCCATGAGAATGTTTATGTTTCATTGACTTTCTCCAGTAACGAGAACTTTTATGAGATAATATTGAAGAGAGATGATTTTAATAATGGTGTAAATGGTAGCTTGGGCAGCTTTAGGCGCAATGGGAACAAAAGCATTAGCATTTGGAGCAAAAGCACTTGGGCTTATGACGCAGTAAATAAAATGAGTGGAGGAAGAGTTTCGAAGACATTAGATGCAAATAAAGGAAAGATTGGAGGCTGGGTTGCAAAGAAGTTAAGATTAAATAAAATAGGGCTCATAAATAAAGCATCCAATTTGGTTGCGACTGAGTCAGAAAATGCTTTAGGAAAGGACGATGAGTTTGCAAAACACGCAAAAGACTTTAATGACCAGATGAAAGGTGAAACAATGCATTTAAATAGATTCGATGGAACTCTTCCTCCACCAGTAGTTCTTCCGTATGGTCCCTATGGAATGTATGGAAACCCTTACGAAAGACCATTTGACCCATTGACTGGTGGAAGTAACTGGTATCATTACGGACGAAGAAGAAAGACAGTCAAGTTGGAGACAGACGTGAAGAAAGCAACTAAAAAGAAACCAAGGAAGAGAGTTATAAAGTAATGAATTCAAGTGGGTGAAAAAAGAGGTGAAAAAAGAGGTGAGATTTCACCACTTCACCTAAATTTATTTTTGTGCTATGTTTTCATACGTGTGAGGGTGGTGATATCATTAATTTTTAAGTTTATTTTTTTAAAATTATTTTTTATTTTATTTGGATGTAAATGACGAAAACTATTGAGATAACAAACTACAACGGTCATGAGTTCAAGAATTTGTTCTTCGTTCCTCGTGAAAATACATTCTATCAGATACGAGGGAGAAAGGGTAAAGTTAGTTTGAGCGTTTATGAAGGAATGAAGAATGGAAAGTTTATACAAGCATACGATACAAACGGTAAGCGTGTTTCATTAGCTTTGTCAAAACTTACTAACATTTATTTTGACAGTGACTTTGACTCTGACGATTGGAGCGACAGCAGCGATACTGAAGAATATGAACTATTGTGTGAAGCACAGCAATGGGAAGAGTTGCAATACTTTTGTAAGTGAGAACGTTTATTTTTACAGTAGTGAGGTGAAGTGGTTGGCAGCTTTATAAATATTTAAGGTTAAGTTGGTGTTTGTGTTTGTGTTGTAAAATATACGTTAACGGTTTTGTAAAGTGTCAAATTCACAAGTATTGCGTATGGAGGAACGCAGTGCCTCCGTACACGAGATATGTATACTAACTTATAAAAATCTAAATATAATGTTAGCTTTTGTTCATCTACATGTGGTGTTCTGACGTCATCTCCATAGTCATAATAATATGGTGCTGGAGCTGGGTCAGGCAATGTCATATCTGTCATTTCATAAACTCTTAAATATTTCTTTTGTTCGTCTCCATATAAGTTTAAGTAGCAGTTGTTGTCTAATGGAACTTTAACTTGTGTACCATCATTCTTTTTATAGCTTACATACATTTCATTGTTATTTTTCGGAATGAGTTTATACCGTGTACCATTTTCTAAGGACTGTACCAACTGCATCTAAAATATTTGTTTTCTTCATTGACAGAAAAGTCACCAACAATAGTTTCAATATTTTTTGTTCCTAGCAAACTTTGGTATATTTCATTGACATATGTTTTATCTGCTTTATTTTCAAGGCTAACGTTTAAGTCTGTTATTTCAGAAGATGTATGTGTATGTCCAACGGCACTTTTCCTGTTTAAGGTTTCTTGTAAGTCTGTTATTTCAGATATAGAATGTGTATGTCCAACGCACTTTTACTGTTTAAGGTTTCTTGTAAGTCTGTTATTTCAGATATAGAATGTGTATGAGTCTTTTTAGAATATTCGTTTTCAGCTCTCGTCACTTCACTTGACATTTTTATTGTCAACATATGTTTTGTCTGCTAGTTCAGGATGAGTATTTCTTTTTGTTGCATAAGCATTGTTAGCTCTTTCTTCTTCTTTTGCTATTGCATCGTCTACATATTCTTTGTCAGCTTTGTTGTCAACATCTGTTTTCAAAAGAAGTTCATTTATAGGTTTCTCGTTTAAAGTTCCTTTTGTTGGATTTATACAGACAGTATGGTTCTTATTGTCTTGAAATAGAAACTCATCTGTCATTGGGTTTAATGTCAGTTTTAAGTTTCCTTCTTTCAATGACTCAGATATCTTAGAATAGTTTGAAAAGTTTGTTGTGTTCTTATTTAGAGCTTGCATAATGAGTTGTCGGTTGTGTTGTATTTCTCTCATAGACGCTGTTTCATTTGACATTTTTATTCTAGATAAAATATGCTTCCAATAGAAAAAGAAAATTCAAGAGTTGCTACAACTAAACCATTAGATGAACTTTTTACTAATGTCGGTCAAAAGTTGAGACAGAGACCGTAAAGCATGAAGGCTATCGTTTTGACTACCCATTAAGATGGCTAAGAGACCCATCTGTCACAAAAGCTATTGGCTTTCGTAGAATGAAGTTTGTGTCTGTAGAAGATAAAAGTTTTCCATTTATTGTAAGGTTTCATATAGATTATATATCTGAAGGGGAAACGAAAAATGTGGGAAGAAATTGAGCTAATACAAGTTGACCTTTCATCTTCTCTACAGACTGCGTTAAAAAATATAGAAGATAAAATAAATTCATGTTATGCAAAATATGCTGATGAATATGCAAATACCGAGAGCACACTTTATGTGAGAATTGTATATGACAAACAAAATTCACAAGTGTCATTTCAAATCTACGAAAACAATCCAAATAAAGACGAACAAATATATACAGAATTCACTGCAATGTCATGGTATTATTTGCAAAGAATGTTAAATCAGAAAGTCGAACTTCTTAAGCAATATTTACAGTCGATATGCAAGAGATGAACCATATTTATTTAAAGATGTTTTCGACCCAGCTGCTATTATTGTTCATGCTTCATTTTCTGGCGCCCAAAACTCTTTCTTATGCTTGGCAAATGACTTTTACGAAAAAACCTACAAAGTTATACGAACCACCAAGTGGAAGTATTTCAGACTTTCAAGTATGGTTTACTACAGATGGAAGAAAAAGAATAATTCCATTATACCATGCGTTTTACTTAGAACTTAGTTTCATATACAACTACTATCGAACGGTAAAAAATATAATTTTTTAATACGGTTGAGGTGTTGGATTTGGTTGCCAACTAGACTGTGGTGCAGGTTCAGGCTGTTGTATAACAGGAGCTTGTTCTTCTGGTTCAGGGTCTTTAGGTATAATACCAACAAACTGACCTACTCTTTTACCAATTTTTTGACTCCGTTCCAAATTCCTCTTCCTACGGTTTTTATTCCATTCCATATACCTCTTCCAACATTTCGAAAGAAGTTTCCAATACTACTGAAGAAACCCATTTTACTATATGTAAAAAATCTAATGTCCGCCTAGTCTCTTACGTTTCCTGTTGAGTTCCATAGCATTCTTTAACTGGAGCTCATACATTCTGTTTCTCCTCTGGTAGAAAAAACATATTCTGGGTCAACTCCTGTGTTCGCGTCATCTGCATAAAGTTGTTTATATCCCACTTCAGGGTTTGTATAAAACTCTTTCCATCTCATATTTGCATACCATGGTGGCAAACCTAACGCAGCGTCATTTGACATGGCAGTTTGCATTTGTACATCTGTTGGCACTTGACCATAGTTTGCCATTGCAGTTTGTATTCTAACTTCATTTGGAATATTCTCTGGGTTTGGTTGTCCAGGTTGCTGTGCATTCGCTAAGTTCTGTGCGTCCATTTAATATTAGATAAAAATATCTCTTACGAGTACATATACTGAACATTTGCAGGCATTGGTTCATCTTCATATTCTCTGTACTTTTCTGCCACGTCAAATAAATAAATGACACAATGGAAAAAACCTAAAACAAGTAGTCCGATTTCAAACCACATTTACTTACTAATAAAATTTCTTTGTTATGACACTTTCTCCAGTTTATAGGACCTCTCTCATATTCTATCTTGTCATATATAAACTCATAGTCATGTATGTCCTCTAACCATCTCATAACGGTTTCCAAACCACTTTTATCGGATGTAAAGTAAAAGCATGGATGGTTATGTAAAACGTCTAAAGTTTCTAAAGAGTCTCTCAAAGTCCAGTCTACTTGGTATTGAAAATCCCATGTGTTATAGAACGGCGGGTCCACTATAAAGAAAACATTTTCCTTGTCTTTATATTTTTCATACAAATCTGTCCAATGACATCTCACAAACTCTATACCCTCAATATATTTTTCTATGTCCTCTTTGAAAACATTTGTATAGTTAAGATATAAAACTTTTGACATAAGTGTTTCAATGTCATGAACTCTTATAGCACCACTATATAATAGTCTAGCAGATATACTATTCCAGTCTATATATTCTGCTTTTTTCAAAACCTCTCTCACAATATTTTTCTTATCTAATGGTATACGTTCCATCTTACCTATAGGTATCTTTTCTTTTAACTCTTTCAATATATTGTTTGTGTCTGGTATATGTTTGAGACGGTCCATATAGTTGTCGAAGTCATTGCATATAATCTTTGAGTCTGGGAATATTATATGGCACAAATGGGATATATAGAAACTTCCACCGAACAAATCTACAAATGTTAGACCATTCGGTAGTTTCTTAAGTTCTCTCAATATAATATCTTTACATTTACTCTTATTTCCAAAGAACGGTAACGGAGGTTTTGTAAAATTCATTTATATATAATAATAAAAATGTTTTTCCTGAAAAGTGACAGAAAAGTGACAAAACATTTACGAAGAAGTCATGAAAATTCATGAGGTGAGAAAAGAGGTGAGAAAAGAGGTTAGATCTAACCTTCTACCCTAAATTATATTTTTGGGTCCTTTACACTCATTACGAAGAAGAAGTCTTGACAAAACATTTACGATGAAATCATGAAAATTCAAGAGGGTGAGAAAACAGGTGAAAAAACTGGTGAGATCTCACCTCTTCACCTAAACATTATTTTTGGGTCCTTTACACTCATTACGATGAAGTCTTGACAAAACATTTACGTTCATGTTTGACAAAACATTTACGAAGAAGTCTTGACAAATTCAAGAGGTTAGAAAAGAGGGTAGAAAGGAGGGTAGATCTAACCTTCTACCCTAAATTATATTTTTGGGGTCCTTTTACACTCATTACGATGAAGTCTTGACAAAACATTTACGTTCATGTTTGACAAAACATTTACGAAGAAGTCTTGACAAAACATTTACGAAGAAGTCTTGACAAAACATTTACGAAAAAGTCTTGACAAAACATGTACGTTCATGTTTGACAAAACATGAAAACATATATAATTTGTGAAAAGCGACACATTATATATAATGTTTTCGACCCAGAAGACTAACAATTTTCCGAATAAAAAACTTCATTTATTACTAAACATCATCAGGGCTAGAAGGCACGAAGTGCCTGGAAGCCCCACTACCTTTTTTTTTTTTTTTTTTTTGTATATATCTAATGAAGATTATATATGTAGAAGATAAGTACCTTAATATGTACGTAAATTTTAATGAAATTTATACAACATTATAAAAATTTATGAATAAAAACTTGATATAAAATAACGGTTTTATTTTTACTAAGAAAAAAAAGGTTTTTGATAATAAATTTATTTTATTTCGAAAAAGTAGCAATAATCGTAAAAGGGTATTGATAGGCTTGCTAAAGTAACTAATTTTAGCTGTCAAATACTTTTGTATTTTGAAGTAAATTAGTATAAATTTGTTTTTACTTTTATTTCGAAAAAGTAGCAATAATCGTAAAAGGGTATTGATAGGCTTGCTAAAGTAACTAATTTTAGCTGTCAAATACTTTTGTATTTTGAAGTAAATTAGTATAAATTTGTTTTTACTTTTATTTCGAAAAAGTAGCAATAATCGTAAAAGGGTATTGATAGGCTTGCTAAAGTAACTAATTTTAGCTGTCAAATACTTTTGTATTTTGAAGTAAATTAGTATAAATTTGTTTTTACTTTTATTTCGAAAAAGTAGCAATAATCGTAAAAGGGTATTGATAGGCTTGCTAAAGTAACTAATTTTAGCTGTCAAATACTTTTGTATTTTGAAGTAAATTAGTATAAATTTGATATTATTTTAACTCCCTTTGAAAACCTCAATTTTCCATACAGAGGGAACGGGAATAGCATCCAATATTCCCTGAGAATGGTTGCGCATTCTCAGTTCCCTCTATATTTCGAACGAAGCTCTCATCGGTCTTTTTTTTAATACTAAACGTTTTTTTCCTGTCACTTTTAGCTAAAATTTGGGTTTGCCTCTCTGAAAATTGAATTAAAAATGATGCAAAAAATACGTGCATGTATTTGTAGCATAGATCTAGATTTTAATAAATTTCGCAAAACAGATATTTGACAGAATTTATACGCCCATCGATATTGTTTATAGAGCAATACATTCTATGAATAATTAACCAAGTAAAATTTTCAATGATTTTCAATTTCAATTAAATTCTGAATACTATAGAAAAATGATGCATATTCATCAGTTTAGACAATGCTTGCAACTCCACACGCAACAATCCTTATTGAAGATATACCGCTTCCAATGCTTGATTCCTTTGAGGACGAAGTGGAGGAACTTGACACTACTACAGGAATTCCTTTCATCAAAGTCCAGGAAATGGCTGACTTGATGAAAAATGGCAAGGAACTCAAAATATTCGATTGTAGATTCCCATATGAATACAAGGCAGGCCACATTGTCGGAGCTTCCAATCTCGGATCAATCAAAGAGATGGAAAAATTCTTTAATTCCTACGAAAAGGTCGTTAAATCACTAGAGGTGAAAGGAAAATCTATCAATGACCTATACATTCTCTTCCATTGCGAATTCTCATCCGTTAGAGGTCCAAGCTTTGCCAAGATATTCAGAGAAATGGATAGAATGAGAAATTCACTTAATTATCCCGCACTTTCTTTTCCAAATGTCTTCATAATTCATGGAGGCTTCAAGGAAATTTACTCTGAAAGACCAGATTTATGCACAGGAACATATCTAACAATGCATGATGATACTTATGTTCAGAACGGTGAGCTCTCAAGGATGAACAGAAGATATAAAGAAGAAATTAGTAATTTCAATCGCTCTAAAGGAGGAAAACGTGTTAGAAGATTAACTTCTAGCCAACCAATATTTCATCCATTTGTTGCTTTCTGCTTCTAATTCATATTAGTTATCAATTGTATCATTTCATTTTGTTTTGTATTAAATATAGATATATGATATCAAAATACATGAGTTTTTCCAAGTGGTCAGCGAGGAGTTTTTTCATTATTGAAGTTTTCAGCAAAATGAACAATCGGATTTGGACATTTGAGATAGAAAATTGATTTAAAGGACCTTATAAACTTCAATTTGAGTGCTAATATACCATGAATATCATTCTTATTGTTAGTTTTGCGAAGAAAATTTTATCAATTTCTTTCATTCTCCATTCTCTAGCTCTTAAACAAAGATGCATTACAAAAGTATCGTTATTTAATACCAATCCTACGATTTCAAATCTAGAAACAAGTTACAAAGCAAATCGAGAATTTCAGACAAAGTTCATTGTCATTCCAAAGAGATTTTTCGGATTATTACGGAAATTTACAGTATGATGATAGAACAAAGAATGAAACTATTTCAGAAAGTGGCAATTTTTACATTCATAATTCAATATTTTCTTTCCATCAAAAACGAGCAATTTACCTTAAATCTAATAGCAAAGTATTACTTGAAACATGCACATTTTACAACAACAGCTCAAAAGGTTATGGTGGATCTTTCTATATCAAATATTCTGACTGTGTTTTAGTTCATATTTGTTGTTCGTTTTCATCAATCGTTTCGAATGAAGGATGGGGATGTGGATATAACATATGGTGTTCTAGTTCTAAGAAAAATTATGCTATTGAATCATCAGTTTCATCATGCAGTGGATATGGAACTGCATTTTCTCATTATCAAGGATACATCCAAGTAAGTAATATGAATACATCGAATCACGAAATTACTAGAGATGCTGCATATCTTATTCAATATCCAACAGGAACAGGAATTCTTAATCTCACAACAGCATTCAATACATCATCTAAAGAAGAAGCAGGAATGATTGATAATTATGGAACATTTAAAATTACAAAATGCAATTATTTAAGTAATACATATACAGGAAGTGATAATGGAATAATAATATGTGATTATGGTACTTGTACATTTTTAGATTGCAGTTTTATGAATAATAAAGGAAATAAATTCTTTTCTGGAAATCCAAGTATTAATCATTGTTATTTTAAAGATAATGAAGTAAGTGATTATCCAAACAATATTAATTCAGTTGATCCATTAGATTCATTTATTTCTCATTATACAACAGATAAATGTTATGATACATATTATTTTTATGATAGAAATGATAATATCAATCTTCCAAATTTTGAAGTTAATGTAATCAGATCATACAAAAGATATGATCATGAAAATGAAGAAGAAGGTAACGAAAATGAAATTAATAACATCCAAAACATTGCATTAAATGTTTATAAAACATCATTTGCTGAAGTATTAAACTTACCTTCACTGTTGTAAATAAATATTTTTTATTACTATATATTTAATATTAATTCTCATTAACATTCTCCTCAGAGAATCCACCATCTCCACTGGGATGATGATAGCTTCCAGATTTACTGTCGCCTTTATTTCTTCCCAACAGGATAAATATAATGATGGCAGTTATTACTAACAAAACTGCCAAAACAGACAATACAGAAATTAAAATTGTCTTTTTCTTCTTATCTTTATTTGGTAATTTTCCGTTTGCTTCATCTGATTTTACAGCATCTTCAATGTTTACAGAAAAACTTCCTTCTGCAGTACTACGTCCTTCTGCTTTCACAACAATATGAGCAGAATCCCTAGTCTCATTTTGTGGAACAGTTATTGTCATTGGGATTCGGATAACTCCATTTGTGTTCTCATACATCATTGATATTTTGAGTTCATCATTGTAAAAGGCTGTCACCTTGAATTGTTTATCTATTGCGATATCTTTATCTAAGACTTCGGATGTGAAGTTGATGACTTCGCCTCGTTTGTATGAGTTCTTGGATTCATCTCGAATGAATGTTATCATTGTATCGAAATCATCTTGGATAACTACTTCGAATTTGTCGTATCCATCATCTTTTCCATCATTTGCAACGAGTTTGACAACATAAACGCCTGGTTTTGTTCCAACAGGAACTGTGAAACTGAATTTCTTTTGATCCTTATTATTGACAACATTATCTTGTGAATATACTTCTTTATCACCAAGGAATATCTTCACATTAAGATTTTTATCTTGAGCATCGGGATCATACACCATTGCATTGAATTCAACATCTGAGTTTGGAACATAATATTTTGAATCTGGTTTTGTTAATAAAACTTTCGGTCTTTCATTTCCCTGATATACTTTAAAATCAATATCATAGATTGAATCATAAGTTATATATGATGCAATTACTTTGATTGTATATTCACCAATTGGTAAAGGATCGGTATAAATATCAAATGCTACAGTATAGTCGCTAGTAGTTGTTTTCATTTCTCCTAAACTCAGCTTCTGTGCAATTGAACCATCTTTCTTATTAATAATTTCGTATCTTCCTTTGATATCTCTACCTTCTACTTTATGCCAGAATCTACCTTTGAGGTGGATCTTTTCATCACTTGCAATCTCTTCTTTGATAAGAGTTGTATCTAGTTTAAATCTAGGAGTATCATAGAAATCATCGTATATCACAAATGACTTCATTATTGTTTGATGAGGTTCAATCCAGAGATCAATCCATGAATTGGCAAACCATAAAGAATAAAACCATTGTTCATTGTACATACTATTTCCTTCAAAAAAGATTTTATCGCCCTTATCATTATAGTGAAACAAATTTATATCAGTTACTTCTGGATGGCTCATTGATACCCATGTCATTGTGACATAATCGCCATAATCAGGTAAGAGATAAAAATATATTGCGACGCCATAGTTTTCATAGTATGAAGCACTCAATTCTCCGTCTAATATAGATGGATTGAATTCGATACCATGAGAAAAATCAAACTTTGCTCTCTTATCTGCTGTATTTGTGAGATAATATTTTCCAACTATATAATGTTCATGATTTTCGAATTCAAACTTGCAGTTAAGATTTGGAACTTCATTGACATCTACAATATCTCCATTTTCTTTCTTTACTTTTGCGTATGTAGCTTTAGTAAAATCAAAAACCTTTGAGTTTGCTTTATTCTTGCCCTTAATAACAAAAGAATTTGAGCCAGTTCTCTCTATCCAAAGGCTTGAAGTTAAGCATGCAAGACATGCACTTAGCATTGTTAAATGAACTGAAATTGATATTGTTTCGGACAATAAATCAGAATTTTCATCAGATTTCATAAATTGAGTAAGAATTTCAATTCTCCCACTATAAAAAGTGTTTTTGATATGAATTCTTGAATGAATTTTTGATAAAATCACAGATTTTGTTTACATCTATATAATTTTTTAAGGGTCCATTGTAAGGCCAAATAAGGCCTATCGTCGTCCCAAAAATATTGCTCGAGATGGTGTTTTACTAAGGCCCAAAACTTAAAAAAACACAAAAAAATTAACTTTACTCTTTTGAGATCCTTATCAGATGTGCAACAATTTGATGCAGTATCGCAATTCGAATCCGATTTTTTAATGTAGATGTACTCTAACATTCTTGAAAAAATGCAAAATGATATTAATCAAGCTTTTCATTTCTGTATCATACACGAAACAAAATCATTCATTATACTAAAATTTATCAAAGTTTGAATAATGAAAAAAATGATATCTAAATTTTTACATTGAGTCGGCTATTGATATGGTCAATATTAAATCGTTTAAAAATGGGCATTGGCCAGAATAATACCCACTAAAATACACATTTTTTTAAATTTTATCAATTTGTTTTGGTATATCTTTATGATAATGAATAAAATGCTTATCTTTCATAAGTCAATACATAATTTATGCTGAAACACAAAAAATAACACGAAAATTTTTGGCCAACATTTCAAAATGAAGGATAATGCTTTGAATATATAAACAATAATACTTTGTCTAGAGAATTAAATTTGTGCTATCCAATTGTCAATTCTTTGAATTTTTTATAAAATGCACGATATTCCGGCATTAGCCTCAATAAATATAAACTACATGCATCACAATATTAGGATGTAATGGCATTAAAGCGAATTTCCTAATTTCTTCTCAATTAAATTCCTAGAAAAACTTAGGAATTAATGATTGGAAATAGGTCAAAAAAATTCCTAACATAAAATTTATACTTAAATTAAAATCAAAATTCGAAAATATCTATTTTTCAAAACACGCATCCAGAAGCGAAAAAATTCGAAAAAAATCATGTTCTTATAAAACTCGCTGATTTTGCAATTTTTATGTGATTTGAAGTGATAGAATGTATTATCATCTTACTAAAACATATACTTTATTGTTACATTCACAAAATATTAATCAGAACACTAGGAAAAGTGGATTTCGAAAAATGACGATAACAATTATTTGCAAATCGCCTCTCAATTTTGAGAGACTTTCAATTTTTACAGTGGACCCTTAAGAACGCTTCAAAATTGAATGGTATTCTTTTGCACTTTTGAGAAGTATTGAATAAAATATTAGTCAAATATGTATAACCAACCTTGATTTATATTCGCATCTGAAAAAGTCCAAAAACAACCAAAGTCGGGAGAAATCAGATTATAATATACCTGTAAATTAGAGCAATATTTCTATGGCGTGGCCATGGTCATAATCAATTTTTCAGAATACCATTCAATTTTTATATATTCCTTTTTCTACATACAATAATGGTTAGAAATTTGTAACTTCACTTCCCCATGAATTGTTTATGAAAATAACAATATATCAATATATAAAAGTTTATTGTTTCTATATTGGATTGTATCTATTTGGAAAAAAGTTAATTTGTGAAATTATGCATTTGAAAAGAATGTAATTTTATTTAGATAAGAGATACATATGTTTTGTGTTATCGAGATGAAGAATTTATATTTCATTTGTTGTTAAAATGACTTTTAAATTCAAATTGCAATAAAATATCAAAATAACAATCAAATATTTTGATCATATGAATGTGGTAAAAGAGAAATGCATGTATTCAACGTTTCCTTTCCAGTAATTTTATAGGTTTGTCAATAAACGATAAAATTGTTATCAATTTTTTCAATGAAAATTACAGGCGATTCATTTATTATGCTATTTAAAAGTAGTCCAACCTTTTTTTAATTTTTCCAAGCAATGGATTGGAACTACTTTTTATTAACAAAATGGACTAATTAATCGAATTAGATAATACAAAGCATTGGAAAGCGAAAATGAAGCACAAGACAAATAAAATGATATTGACGATATCAAAAACAGTGCATTAAATGATAATAAAACATCATTTTGTGGTACAATAAACTTACTAGAATTGGTGTCATAAAAAAATTAAATAAAATTTGATTTATAAAAAGATAGATAACAAATATTTTTATTTCTATTTCATGTTGAATAAAATTGAATTTTTGAGAGTTGATATCTTACCAGATTCATCTTTAGCGAATAATGACATGGAATTTCTCATGAAAATTATTTCTCTTATGGGTGGTCCGTTCTGTTTGAATGTCATTATGTGACTTATCGAAATATTAACAGGATCGAAATTGAACACGTAAACATCACCAGAAGAAGATCCAACGAATACAAGACGAACTTCGTCGAATGACATCAGTTTAGGAACTTCAAGACAAAGACCTTGTTTCTCAAGACTGATCTTACAAAGGAAATTACAATTATCACTGAAAATATGAAGTTCATTCTTAGTAAGAACATATAGCAGAGACTTATAATCATCGAATCCTGTGTCAACAACAGAACTTTCGAATTCGATTCTCCTGTGAATAACACCACGAACGAAGTCCCATAAAACAACCAAACTATTTTGTATATCTTTTTGATTAGGAAATACACTGCTGCAAATCATGTCTTGACCATTGATCGATGTTCGGGAATGATTATATGTTTCGAAAGGTCGACCGATCTCTACAATAGATTTCTCTTTGTTTTCTATGTTTGTAATTCTGAAGACTTGACTCAGACCAAATGAAAAGTCAATAACAAAGAAAATTCCATTCTGTGAACTTCGAATTGATCTTGAGAAACTGAAATGATTGTCATATGAACAAAAATGGAATTGATTTGATTCAAAACATCCTTTCTTGATGTCAATATGACAAAAAATGTTTTCATTGTTATGAATGAAATAACAATTATTATGATCATTCAACAAAGAATCAATATCATTTTGATTATCATTTTCATTTTCATTATTAGAATTGAAATTGTCACTCTCTTTGTTTGTGTTATTATTAATATCATTAGAATTATTATAACTATTACTTGTATCATCAGAGTCTGTGTCATTTATTTGTTTGTTTCGAGATGGATGTTTCTTCTTGAAGATTTGTGATGGACATTGACCCCAGTTAGAAAGTCTGATGATAAGAGATTCGATCGTTTCTTCTTCGCCAAGTTGATAGTTGTGGTAGAATACTGGATTGAAAAGATTCTTCTTAACAATTGAGTTCTGTCCTTGTTGGTCACATCCGAAGATTAAGTCGATCCATTCTTCGATGTTGCTTTTCTCAAGAAATGATTGATTGAGAGAAACAAATGAGAATGAGTTCTTGCAATATTTAGGAAGAATGACATCTTTCAGATTTAATATGTTGATGTCATTAAAAAGATCACTGAGGCAGAAGAACTCTGGAATAAGTTCTCGTAAATCATTTGTGTCTTCTCGACTGCAACTATAGAATGATGTGCAGATATCATTGAACATTCGATCAACTTCATCCCATCCTTCATGCAAATCCCATTCGAAATATGTGAATGGAATTTGTCGAACAAGATAATAGTGAACACATGATGACATTGAATAAAGTGCTGTGTAGAAATGTGTCTTCTGACTATCAAAGAATGAATCATATAGTTGACTTCGTGTTTCATCTAATTGACCCATAGGTTTAGACAAATCACGAATTTTCGTTGGAATTTCTTCTGATTCGTAATCTGAGATGATCCATGGGAAAACTGGGTATTGACTCAAATCACTGAATGAACGACCACTAGATGAGTTAATAAACAACAAATATTCATAATTACTCATCTTATGATTCGTCCAAAGAGATTGAGCTCGTTCAATTGATAATGTATGAATAATGTTGTCATTCATTTTGTTTGTAACTTCAATCATTTTAGTGAACTGTGTTGGTAAACATGATGTAACAGGATATGGAATCAATATGATTTCTCCACTCTCATATGTGTTGATTCGAACAGAATTTTTTCGATGTGCATAGTAATGTTGTGTTGTGAAAATGATGGACTCATATGGAATGATGAGAACTGGATGACCACAAAACAATGTTGTATGACCAAACAAACCAAGTGTTGACATCTCAATAAAGTTTTCATGAACAAGTTGACTATATGAATTAGAATCAATTTCAATTTCATTTTCACTTTTCTTTTCACAGCCAATTAAAACACAAAAAACATCTTTGAACTCAAAAACAACTGATTTGATGCCTTCACTGTATTTCATGAATAAAGCATTAAATGTTTCAAGAATACTGCCATACATGATCTCAACAACATCAACAAATGACCGATAAATAATCTTATTGTCATTAATAAAACTGGAATATGATGTAGGAAAGATATTCATTCCTGTTTTAGAGAAAAATATTGTAGATTCTCGAAAGAACAAATCAACAAAATCATTGTGTTTGAAGATAGTTTTTGTATCATTTTGAGTTTGATAGACAATATTATGATCTTCAACTTTAGGAATTTCGAATGGAGAAGGGATCAATAGTTTCGGAGTCATCATTGGTAATGTTAAAGGAGAAATTCTGAATGATTTCTCAAAAATGTTGTTTTGCATGAAACAAATTTCGTTGTTAACGAAATAATTATATGTTGTCATTTCATTGTGTTTATGCATGAAACATTTTTGGTATGAAACTAATGTTTGAATGATATTTTGTTCTCTGTTTATAGTAGTTTTCAACCGAACAAATCTTTTGTTCATAGAATCAGTCATTGAACAAATTCGTAATGCGAAGAAATGTTCATCAATATTCTCTGTTGAAATGTTTTCGATTCCTTCTCTTGGTTCATTAAATTCTCTGTGTTTCTGTTCTAAAACTTTCGTTGTTTGGATGTAGATATCATTATTATCTCGAATCCAATCACTGAATGAAAGACCGCCTTTGTTCACGTAATTTAATATTCCTTGAACATATTTGTTCAAATTCAAAAGTGAAACAGAATCAAAACTTTTCTCCCAACTGTGTTGGAATTTATCATGAAAAATGATTTGATCAATGAAATGATTGTAAAAAACAATAAATCGTTTGTCATTAACTGCATTGATATTTGTAGAACAAATCAAGAATCCTGATGTGAAACTGATATCATCAAACAAATTGATTTGCGTAACAAAGTCTTTCATGGAATGTAAAATCTCAAATACACCTAAAATCTCATCAACTGTACAATTAGAAAACATACTAGAAATGATATGTCGCAAACAAATAACTAATTGTTTCGTGTCTTTCGTTTTAACAGAAAATATTGCTTTCATCATTGTTAAACAACTACTAATCAATAAACCTGGTTTGTCACCAATAGAATGTTCTTCTAAACCAATACAAACTGTTGAGAATAAATAGTTCAATGACTTAATAGGAGCACTGATAACTTGTGGACGCGTTAATAATGAACAAATGAATTTGGAAATGAAATCAGAATATCCTTCCAAGTTCTTGATGGGACTATCGAAAACAATGACACGAAAAATAGTCGTAAACTTTGTTGGATTATTAATTGCTGAAACTAAGAAACTTGTGAAGAAATCTGTGATCATATTGACATGATCAGTCAAAAATTTTGGAATTTTAGTGATGTTTTCGATGGGAAATTTGATGTCTGGTCTGAAAAAAGAAATCACAGGAAGCAAATAAGAAATGAAAGGAGAAACAATTAATTGTGTTGCATCTTCTGATTGTGGAATTCTTCCTTCAACATCATTCATTATGTCAATTCTGTCAAAGATAGTATAAACATCAGAAAAATCAATATTTTTCATTTTTTCTTCATGATCATCATGTAAAACAGAAAATCGATTTGAACTAAACAATTTTGTTGCATCAAAAATAAGAGGTGTGAAAAATAACAATAAATTATAAATTGAGTTATTACTTAAGTAACTATTATCGAACTTGGAACAATAAGATAAAACACGAATAACATCTTTCAAATCTCGTTCGAATTTAATGATTTCTTCTGAGTTATTTTCATGATGAACAATTGTTAAAATCGATAATGAACAACAAATTAAGATAACTAATGTAATTAAAACATTAGGATTATATATTTTTTGTGATTCAAATTTAACAATAGGATAAGTATCGAAATCATCAACAATTTGATTTGTTGCAATAGAAAGTAACTTAGTCCACACTGAATGTTCTGTTATACACTGCATCAAACTAAGAGAAAAAGAAATAGATGGAGAAACATATGTCATCCTTCCTTTTGAAATGAAAACAATCAATTCTAACAATTTGGATGTGATTTCGACATATGAAACTGAAAGTAAATCTAATACATTCTTAAATGTGAATACTTCTGCTAATATATCCATTTTGTGTTTCTTGTGATAATTAATAAGCATTGTCAAAACATTAATTTTCACTTGATCAGATGAAATAAGCAACAAATGATATAAATGAGAATACAAAACAATATCATTAAAGAAATTAGCAAACTTCATTAAATATTTCATATACAAAATATCATTATTAAATGTAATAAACAATGTTGATAAAATTGAGCCTAAATATTCCATTTTAGGCAAAAATTTGAAATTAGAAGCTTTCAGATTTTTCATAATACTCTTTAAAATAATTTCTCCAAATAAGTACCAAATATCAATATCTAATGCAATGTAATTAAAATAATACAAATCTTCGACGGATGAGAAAAATAAATCAAATAAATATTCTATAACTGATTTTTCTAAAACATCTCTTTTCTCTTTAATAATCATCTTCATTTCAAGCCAAAAATCTGGAATGTTGTTTGTGATCAAATAACTGTTAATTATCGCTTGAATAATTTCAGTAATTTTTTGTTTGTTGTCACTTTTTAAGATGATTTCGAGAGCACAAACTAAATTGTATTTTATTGTGAAGAACCAACTGAATCCGAAATAAGGAACACTTAAAACTCCATCACCTTTGTTTGGAATATATGAAAAAGGTGACAAAATTGAAAATTCTGGATCTGAATTTGTACGTGAATTATAGAAATAATCATCGGAATATTGATCAACAAAACTATGACAAATACTGATATTTTCACATTTGGTTAATGTGTTATTTTTGATATTGTAATCATTCTTCAAGATTTCGTTATTTTTCTTGTATGAACTGATGAAATTTGGTCGATTATTTTCTGAAGAAACTGTCCCTTGATATATTGTAAATTGTGTCAAATTTTCAAAAAATTTGACAGTTGACAAAAACCATCGAGTATTTGTCAAATTATCGAAACTTCCAAATGTTGCTGTTGTGAAAGGAACAAATGGAAATTTAATGTCTAATGAACATTTTTTTGAACTTAATTCTAAATTGATTTTTGTAAATTCTTCGTTTGGAAAAAGATTCAACAATTCCCAACTTTTCTTCTTGATTTCAAGTTTTGTTTTAGAGTTATTTATCTGGAAAAACAAGTATTTGTCTTTGATGTAAATTTTCAAATAATCTGTTGTAAAAATATTGATTTGATTGGTCACTTCACTTTCTATTTTAATCCAAAATGAAACTGCTGTAAAATTAAATGAAACTGTGAATCCTGAGTTTCGTGATGTAGGAGAGAATTCAAAGAATTCAAATGGATCTGATGTGATGTCACAAAAATTTGTAAGTTTTTTTGAATGATGCAATAAATATAAAAATTGATCAGATGTCAAATAACGGTTTGCCATTTTTGAAACCAATTTGTTATCATCTAAATCAACACCATGTCTGATAAATTCACTCATGGCGGATTTAGATGCATCATAAATAGAAAAAGGTGACAATTTAAGGTTAGGTGATGGTAAAAGTGGCAAAAGAGCAGGAACACGTAATTGTAATGAATTTGAACCGAAAACAATATGATACAACAATGGTTTTTCTAAATGAAATATAGGATGTGACAATGGTAATGATTGGATCCAAAGATTGACTTCCTCAAATGATTCGTGATGCAACAAACTAGAAAGAAAAACAGGAAACAAATGTTGTGGAAATTTATCACTTTCGATCATTTCATTGATCCAATACAAACCAAAGCTTTTGATGAAGATAGGTGGTGTATATTTACTTTCATAAAATGTGGTGATGAAGATAGAAATCAATGTGTCTTTAGGATGTTTCAAAACATATTCCATAAATGAACTAAATAATTTAGGATTTGGATTGATAACTAAGAAACTAGAACAAAGTTGACTGAATTTAGTTGAATGAGGGATATCTCGTTCAAGACTGATAAGTTCAGAGAAAACTGTCCATTGGATGTTTGCATCAGTTAATTTAGAATAACATAATCGCAAAATATGAATGAATTCAGTTGATTGAACTGAAAAATTTCGAAAAACATCGTTGTTAGAAACAAATGTTTGGATAAATCCCGATTCATTGAGATCATTAATTGTAATAGTTTTGTTATCAAGGATTTCGGAAATTTTAATAAGAATTTCGATTGATGATGAATTAAAAGTTTTCAGATTAGAAAAAACTGGTTTCAAACATGTTTTGATTTCTGGATATTTGATGTCTGCCAGTTTGATAAATATATGATTGATTTCTTCTTGGATTCTTGGACCAAAAAATTTGGTTGGTGTCAAAACTGAAATAATAGGAAATGTTTGATCGATGTCTGAAATTTTTATCTTTGGATCTGAAATGAGGAGTTCTAATGTCTTCATCATAGTGAGGATTGTGTTTTCTGTTGGTGGATTGATCATCATTTTGTGATTGATGTAAAAATTGACACTTGAATTAAAAGAATTAAATGAAATTTTCGAAAACAAGTAAAAAAACTCGGATAACTTGGATTGATCGATTTCGACTAAGTGAGTGTATATATGATCGAGGAATTGATTGATATCTACTTTACTTAAAATGTCAACTTTTTTGCTGTTAATGTAAATAAGGATTGTAATAAGAAGAGTGGAATCTGCAATGTTCTCTTCTTCGATTGAATGATGTATGAGTGAATCGAGGAATAAAGGAATGACACGAAGAATTTCACTTTCGAGTTCGGGTTCAAAAGTATTACAAATGCTAGAAATGTTTTTGTAAAGCATGTAAATGCAATCATTCGCATGTGGAATATTAAATAATTCGTGAATTAATTGTTCACAGTAGTTTTCTTTGCATAATGAAACACAAAACTGTTTATCAAGAAGCATAAATTGTTCTAATTCGTTAATTATTGGACCAAGCTGTGGATATGTAGCTTGAACGGTGCAAAAATGGATTAATGAGTGTGAATAGTCTGATAAACTTGGAAAACTTGGAACAATTTGGAATATAAAATGGAGTGTTGTAAGTAATGAGACGATTCCTGCATCATCTGGTGAAGTTATTTGAGCTGTTGCAAGTAAAGGGAGAATAAATTGGGATAACGTTATTAATTCGGCCGAATTTTTTGAAATCTGGTGAATTGCAATTCTTTGAAGCAAAATTGGAATCTTTTCTGCTATTTGGATCACAAGTTTCTGAAAATCTTCTGATTTCGGTATTGAGTCGAGATTTTGCGAGCAAAGCTTCATTGAATTAAAAAGTGTAGGATCTTTCATTAGTATTTCGATAATCGGATCGCGATCTAATGAAAAAACCTTAGAAAGCCAGCTCGGCATTGATATTTCCAGAGGGTGTCCAACCAAAATAACCTTAAAATGAATTTTACCTTTTTGAGTTTTTCTTCATATTCAGAGGAAGTAGAGAAAAGTTTAAACGGTAAATACATGCGAATGCATATCAACATTATGCTCGAGCTGGATTTGTATATTTTTCTTTTCGTAATTTGAATAAATTCGAAAAATACTGATTTATAAAATTATAATAAGAATTATAATTTAATTTAAATATCTGATAAAATAATAAAATAAAAATGATGATTTTTTGAATCAAAAAATTGAACGATGATTTTTTCAAATTATTATATTTATTGTAAATAACGACAACTGAAGGTGAGATATTGAATATTCATGATTGGGAATAAATGTTCAATTTTGAGATTGAGTTGAGATATCATATTAAAAATTGATTTAAAAGGTTCACATATAGCTTAATGATATGTAATATATACATATTATGAGAAATGCATATTTAAAAGGGGTATGATCGTTGAAAATGGTATGATTCCTAATTTAATCGGTAGGAAAATATTATGAAATTAAATAATTAAAAGAATTTCAAATAACTTCTATGTGTGGTATTAAAAGTATCAATATATAGCAAATATAGTAATTAAGGTTTAAAGAAAACAGGGGACACAATTAAACATCTTATATTAATAATAAATTGAGAGAATGTCAATATCTCATAGTTCAATTGGTTTTCTGGTAAAAATGGATCGGCAAAGGTTGCAAGTTTGATTGTGATCAGCGTTTTTTTAATTTTGAACGATAATAAGATTGTGAATAATAGATAATACCAACCAAAACATAGTTCGAAAATTTACCTAAAATGATAGAGTATGGTAGGAAGTACATACCCAGGTATCTAAAATATCACCTAAAAGCGCTCTTAATTTATGCCAATTGGCATAATAAAGCTACAATTAGAATGCTGACATGATGAAGAATCATTATGAATCATAATTGGCCAGTATGATACAAGATTTAAGAAATCTTAGAGATTATCTGATTTCATGAAACACAGTGATTACTAAGTTTCAGACTTTGAAATTTTAACATGTTGATATGGGTACATAGGATTTATGATTCCAGTCATTTATTTAAAAAATTAGGAATAAGAATTAATATGATGTGAGTAACATTGGTAATACATGCTTAATTACTAATATATTATTTCTTGGTAGAAATTAAATGTTTTGGTGGCATTTATAGAAGTTAAGCTGAGAATCAAAAATGCAAAATTTATTTTATTTTCGTGTATCTATATGAGTACACTAAGTTATTGATGTATATATGAAAGAATCATGAAAATGAATTGTGAATCTCAATATTAGTTGTGTAATGCTGCGTCATATTTTGAATTCAAAATATCCATAATGTTGATAAATGTATTTTAAGATAATACATAAAATTAAGCTTGAAAAAAGATATCGAAATGTAATTTTCAATAGATTCAAAGTTTGGCATATATTTTGATTTTAACTATTGATATATTTATCGAACATCTATAGTAATAGAGTGCAGAACTAACTAAATATAATCAATAAAAAAATATGAGTTGAAGTAATATTCTAAGAGATATATGTGATGTTACCAATATGACATGATATTAGAAAACTGATTTAATGGCGATGTGAGACTAAATATTATATGATAATGAGTAGGGGAAAAATATTAATATGAATTTCTTGAATTGAATGTATTTGAATGTGTGGTTGAGGATAAATTATTGATATATATATTGGAATATTAACTAGAAATAAGAATAGGAAAGATTGTTAATGAATAATATGAGATTAAAGGAAAATATATTGTTTTAATGGATGAGTGTTGAGGCTCAATATATCTGAAGATTATATATGAGAAAGAATTAAATAAACTATGAAATGAGAGAAAATATAACAAAAATGTATATGAATTATAATAGTATTTAAGAATGAAGATGCGTTATTTATTGATCTGTAACGATGATAGAGGAATGATAAAAGAAAGATATAATGAAAAAAAGTTTATTAAGGGTCCACTGTAAAAATTGAAAGTCTCTCAAAATTGAGAGGCGATTTGCAAATAATTGTTATCGTCATTTTTCGAAAATCCACTTTTCCTAGTGTTCTGATTAATATTATGTGAATAAAACAATGAAGCATATGTTTCAATAAGATGGTAATATATTCTATCACTTCAAATCTCATAAAAATTGCAAAATCAGTGAGTTTTATAAGAACATGATTTTTTCGAATTTTTTCGCTTCTGGATGCGTGTTTTGAAAAATAGATATTTTCGAATTTTAATTTTCTCTTAAGTATAAGTTTTATATTAGGAATTTTTTTGACCTATTTCCAATCATTAATTCCAATGTTTTTCAAGGAATTTAATTGAGAAGAAATTAGGAATTTCGCTTTAATGCCATTACAAACTAATATTATGATGCATAATATATATATTTATTGAGGCTAATGCCGGGACATCTTGCATTTAAAAAAAATTCAAAGAATTGACAATTGGATAGCACAAATTTAATTCTCTAGACAAAGTATTATTGTTTATATATTCAAACCATTATCCTTAGTTTAGATATGTTGGCCAAAAATTTTCGTGTTATTTTTTGTGTTTAAGCATAAATTATGTATTTACTTATGAAAAATAAGCATTTTATTCATTATCATAAAGATATACCATAACAATTGATAAATTTTTTTTAAAAAAAATTGTGTATTTTAGTGGGTATTATTCTGAATAATGCCAATTTTTACAAGATTTAATATTAACCATATCAATAGCCGACTCAATGTAAAAATTTAGATATTATTTTTTCATTAATCAAACTTTGATAAATTTTAGTATAATGAACGATTTTGTTTCGTGTATGATACAGAAATGAAAAGCTTAATTAATATCATTTTGCATTTTTTAAAGGATGTTAGAGTACAACTACATTAAAAAATCAGATTTGAACTGCGATACTGCATCAAATTGATGCATATCTGATAAGGATCTCAAAAGAGTAAAGTTAATTTTTTTTGTGTTTTTTTAAGGTTTGGGCCTTAGTAAAACACCATCTCGAGCAATATTTTTGGGACGACGATAGGCCTTATTTGGCCTTACAGTGGACCCTTAAAGCATGTTGGGTACAGTTTATAAAATTTTTGGTCATTTTATATAGTAATTAATTATGGAGTCTTCGGGTAATTATAAATTTTAGTTATAATAGAATTATAATTGGAAACTTTGACCGACAAGAGTGTGTTATGCACTCTTGTCGGTCGCAATGTGTCATTCTGGGAGACATTGCCAATGCATGTCTCCCGGAATGGCATAATATTTTGCAATCAGAGTGTGATTGCAAAACTTTGACCGACAAGAGTGTGTTATGCACTCTTGTCGGTCGCAATGTGTCATTCTGGGAGACATTGCCAATGCATGTCTCCCGGAATGGCATAATATTTTGCAATCAGAGTGTGATTGCAAAACTTTGACCGACAAGAGTGTGTTATGCACTCTTGTCGGTCGCAATGTGTCATTCTGGGAGACATTGCCAATGCATGTCTCCCGGAATGGCATAATATTTTGCAATCAGAGTGTGATTGCAAAACTTTGACCGACAAGAGTGTGTTATGCACTCTTGTCGGTCGCAATGTGTCATTCTGGGAGACATTGCCAATGCATGTCTCCCGGAATGGCATAATATTTTGCAATCAGAGTGTGATTGCAAAACTTTGACCGACAAGAGTGTGTTATGCACTCTTGTCGGTCGCAATGTGTCATTCTGGGAGACATTGCCAATGCATGTCTCCCGGAATGGCATAATATTTTGCAATCAGAGTGTGATTGCAAAACTTTGACCGACAAGAGTGTGTTATGCACTCTTGTCGGTCGCAATGTGTCATTCTGGGAGACATTGCCAATGCATGTCTCCCGGAATGGCATAATATTTTGCAATCAGAGTGTGATTGCAAAACTTTGACTGACAAGAGTGTGTTATGCACTCTTGTCGGTCGCAATGTGTCATTCTGGGAGACATTGCCAATGCATGTCTCCCGGAATGGCATAATATTTTGCAATCAGAGTGTGATTGCAAAACTTTGACCGACAAGAGTGTGTTATGCACTCTTGTCGGTCGCAATGTATCATTCTGGGAGACATTGCCAATGCATGTCTCCCGGAGTGGCATAATATTTTGCAATTAGAGTGTGATTGCAAAACTTTGACCGACAAGAGTGTGTTATGCACTCTTGTCGGTCGCAATGTGTCATTCTGGGAGACATTGCCAATGCATGTCTCCCGGAGTGGCATAATATTTTGCAATCAGAGTGTGATTGCAAAACTTTGACCGACAAGAGTGTGTTATGCACTCTTGTCGGTCGCAATGTGTCATTCTGGGAGACATTGCCAATGCATGTCTCCCGGAATGGCATAATATTTTGCAATCAGAGTGTGATTGCAAAACTTTGACCGACAAGAGTGTGTTATGCACTCTTGTCGGTCGCAATGTGTCATTCTGGGAGACATTGCCAATGCATGTCTCCCGGAATGGCATAATATTTTCAATCAGAGTGTGATTGCAAAACTTTGACCGACAAGAGTGTGTTATGCACTCTTGTCGGTCGCAATGTGTCATTCTGGGAGACATTGCCAATGCATGTCTCCCGGAATGGCATAATATTTTGCAATCAGAGTGTGATTGCAAAACTTTGACCGACAAGAGTGTGTTATGCACTCTTGTCGGTCGCAATGTGTCATTCTGGGAGACATTGCCAATGCATGTCTCCCGGAATGGCATAATATTTTGCAATCAGAGTGTGATTGCAAAACTTTGACCGACAAGAGTGTGTTATGCACTCTTGTCGGTCGCAATGTATCATTCTGGGAGACATTGCCAATGCATGTCTCCCGGAATGGCATAATATTTTGCAATCAGAGTGTGATTGCAAAACTTT